GATTACCTTCACACGAACACTCTACCAAGCGAATTCCCCGCCGCAGTAACCGCTTACATACGCTGAGCACATGCAAACCAGATACCCGCACAAAAAAAAGACAAAATCATATTCACTAACAAACGAAAAAAGCAGTCGCGGCGAGCGGGCTGCAACTCCACACACACTTGCCATTATTAATACCTCAGAAAACCAAAACCTATCCTTTACATCACACTTTACAAATCAACATAATAGACTCATAACCCTTACTAACTAAATGACCGTGTTTTAAAAATGCACGCCCGTTACGATTGAAATTGAGATATACCAATAAGCTCCACGTCGTGCAAAAAACGTTGGTATCTCCTTTTACTTTAGAAAGTGGATTCATGCCTATACCTATGAATGGGCAGTTGAGATCGTCATATATGTAAACGACCCATCCAGGATGCCTATACTAACTACAGGTAAAACCTTCGTGACACATGCAATATACGAACTGTACCTACAACCCAATATATATGACAACATATTTGGATATACAGTGTCGTGTATATATATAATTTTCTCCACTAAGGATTTCGGCGTCATTTCGCTACGAAATTAATGACTAAAGTAGTAAAAAATCCGCACATGCGAAGGGAGGTTTTTCCATCGGCAGACGGTGACGCCAGTGATATTACTTGTATAACCAACAGAAGTTTTGGATGTTTTGAAGATTCATTGTTCGGTGGTTCTGATTTTTTGTGTGTCCTTACAAGGTTCTAGGGAACCAAAATTCTTATACATTTCAGTTTTTAATGATACATCCTGGTAGCGTTGTACCTTCTGGAACACTGTACAACTGTCTGAAATATTAAGATAATGCTCGTTGCTCCAATACCACTTAATTACCTTATATAACTAAATTGTATCCTACCTCCCTGATTAGGACCGTGGCATATGTGATCCAGAGGACACGAAGACCTCCCGATGTTGTTTATTCCTTGCAGAGTTCTGACAATAAACCACTTTCATTTGTTATGGTGGTTCGAAATGTTGAATTAATGTTCAGCACTCGCTATGTCGTTTTGAGGCTATTTCTAAGATTTATACAAACTATACAGATTGCGCAATCCGGACATCGGTGTGGTAAAATATAGCAGGCAAGCAAAACCCTCTATGAGGATGGTGTAATTTAATTGTGACTTGTTGTACGTAAAAGGCGCTATATGCGATGACATTTTATATATATACATATATATGTATTTATAATATTATATATAGTTCAGCCGCTGTCTCTTTATATATATATATCACCTTCTCATGCATTCTCGGACACCAGGCGAGGACCTTAATGCCCGTCCTTATATTTTTGCGTACAATTTGCACAAACCCGGACACTATATGACACTCATTTGTGCGGCTGCCCAGTGGGAACTGTGGAATGGTGGGACGATGATTCAGGTTAGTGTCAACAGAAATGAATTCTTGCGAGGTTTGTTGAATCATACACTGTTCTGGATTTTTGAGCGTCTCTCGTGCGACATTTGTCGGGATAGAGACGTGGTGCGTCTCTATTGTGGAATGCATTATCTGTGTCAACACCATTATCAATCCATCACGACTATCGCTGTATGTGCGGAAGGGTGTCTAACATTTCCTCATTATGCACATCCCTATCATCCAGATGTACGTTGTCCCTTCTGTTCCCAAGGACGCTATCAGAACTCCATGATGCCGCACTGTGACGAACGTCGTGCTGTTTTCTTGGCATGTGAGCAACATGTCCGCTGTCGAGACTATTTCGATAGGATGTTTCGTACTAGCCGTCCGGTTGAATGCTGTACTAGCGCAACTCTCCTTGGGTATCCCTTTGAACATCCCCGTCATCCGTAGCGTAGTTGTCCTATCCGCCGAGGTGGTGACAGATGAAGTGTAGAAGAAACATATAAAAAAATAAACGGAGGAAAAAAAAAAAAAAAAAAAAAANAAAAAAAAAAAAAAAAAAAAAACAAGAAAAATATATATGTATATGTTTTGTGGATGGTAATTGGATTATCTGTGGAAAGTGTCACTTTCTTCGTCTATTTAATAGGCTTTCTTCTTCTGTGAGGTTTGGTTTCCTCCGCCTTAAAGTTTTCTTTATTTCTGTGTCTTTTGGCTGTGTGCAAGTGGGTCTTTTTGGGATGGGGGCGGCCAGCGCTCAACCTGTCATCCACCTGACTGGCCTTGTACGTAAGAGATGACGAACAGCTGGGGCTTTCCTTTCTTGCTTCGTTTCATTTTCTTTTCTTGTTCTGTCTTTTTTCGCCTTTGCGCACCGATTTCCAATGTGACAATATATATATATATATATATGTATATATCGTTACAAACAAAACTGCCCGGTAAACCATAGGCAGAGAGAGAGAAAAGGACATATACATTGTTCATAAAGAACGATGATGTTTTTATTGCGCCACTGTATGCATACCCTTTTCTCTATGAAAAAAAATAAACAACATTTTTTTTAGGGGGTGGCTTTTTATAGGCCCTTAATTCTGATTTTTTGTTCATCTAGTTCAGTATAAATTTTTGCGGTTTCAATGACAATTACTCATCGTCTTTGCAGCACGAATAAAACTAAAGTTGGAAAGGTAGCTTCGTGGGGCGGGGCGACGACTTGTCGTTTGGTTTATACAGACCAATAATTTGTTGGAACAAATGTACTGTCAGCAGTACTGTCGATGTCGGACACGATACGAATCATTATTTATGTCATATATCACCACCCTCGAACCATGTATATTTTTTATTGAGATTAAATTCTTACCAGTTGGAAATGATTTCGATTAAAGCGCGCAAGTGTATAGGGAAATGGTTTCATAATGCGATTAAACTAATTTGTGTGTCTAAATCATTATTCCCCGCATGTATTACCGCTGCTGTTGTAAGATCGGCAGAGACCATGGTGGAAAGGTTTGTCACATGCTCATTGATCGATAACTGGTTTTTTGACGACTTCTACATGATTGAATCCTTTCTACGTATGTTATCTTACGGCGGTATAACCTGTTTAAATCCTGATAAGGACCATTTCTAGCGTTGGTACTAACCTATATGATCATCTAATGGTCATTTCATTATTGCCTACTTACTCTAGTCATTGTACATGATTATATATATAAATAATTCCTTACTCCTAGACCTGGGGTAGGGAGTACATGATCCGTCCGTATCTATAGATATATACAAAAAAGTCCTTTCCTCAATGATAGCTTAGTGTTGGCTATGGGCTTAGCATCATGCTAATAGTAAGGTATTTCGCGTCGGCACCCGCTTCCAGTTTATGTATGATAATAATGCGCATTGAGCATCTTTGATGATTCGGTTGTCATTCTACTGATGTATAGGCCTTTAAGTTCCTCTTTATGAGATGACAATTCGTGAGGAAGATATAATCTGATTCCGTCTTGTCACTTGTAGGAAGTATGCTTGTATTTGAAAAATAACACATTTAAAGGGTGATATATGTTACTCTGACCTGGAAACCGTTCTTCCCTCACAACCATCATGGCTAGCAGATTATCCTTATAACTTGAGCATGCGCATCTTCGTGTATATCCAGAAGAGGGCGACATTGATAGCGCGATTACGTCACAGGAAACATCGACGGTACGAAACGATATACACCTAACCCTGCTAGATTGATGCTTCAGTTCACTGCAAGTATCTTAAAGCAAAGTCGATCATGGTATAACTAGTGGAGATGCCTAAGGCTGGCGCGCGATAATAACCTAACTTAGAACTAAAATATATTATTCACCCTTACCCTGTGGACAACAGAGTTTAAAAGCCTCCTTCGCTAAAGACTGTTTAACCAACTCATCCACACCACACATGAGTTAAACCAAAAGTATTTCGGAAGAAACAGAACTGACCCTGCGCTTTTTTCATATCGCAATAAGAACAACTATTTCTTTACAACGATTGGATATAACGCACTGATAATTGCCTAATATCTGACTATAACCTTTCTATTAACAATGACTTTGTGCCAACGTTAAGCCTAACCCATATAAGTGAGATTTGGGTTGTTACCTTGTCCACTTACACTACCACTACACCTCCCCATTTAAAATAGACCGTGACACATACCAAAATCACTACCATACCTAAAAACGATCAACCTATTTGACATGGCCTTAAATCAAAACCAAAATAGCAGATGATTTAACCATGAACAGACGCCGCACATTACGAAACCTAGCATGCCAACGGAGTACGATATTGAACACACAAACCTCGTGCTAAACCCCCCTCCCTTACCCCCCCTACCATAACTGACCCCCCTCACCCTGCTATAACCTCTACACATCATATCAGCTCGCAATCTGGACTCCCTATTCCTTTTTTCCACACAAACGACCACATTAACTACGAATGAACAAACCGACACATGCGAGCAAAAGGACCGCCCTATATATATATATATATATATATATATATATATATATATATATATATATATATATATATATATATATATATATATATATTTAGGCAAAAGGATCAACCGCTATCGGCAGATCCAAAATCCGCCTAAAAAACCATAGACAATACAACAGAAAAACCCAAGACCAAGAACAATCGAAACCAAAAAAACAACCGCCAAGATTTCTCGAAAACAAAGATATAGCAAATACCAAATGTATATTACACTGCCCAAGATCTTAAAACCTGTCTGTGATAACTACGTACACCCTCTACAAACTTCGCCAACCCCGTGCTCGAAATGACAATCTCCACACTCATGATGAACAGATGCACAAAGCGCACCTCCCGAAAAGTAAACCAACAGATCATATTACCTCACTAACAACCCAATAACCCGTCCGTTAAGGGCATCCCAACCAAAACACCACCGCCATCACTCTACGCAAACCATGCAAACACAAAACCGCTCCAGGTCCCACGCGTACTAACTAACACCACACCTCATATCTACCAACCAAAACAAACAGGGTCTCTTTCACTCCCATACCCGTCTACTACATATCAAAACGCAACTCCCCATGCAGATAAGGGCGCCCCACCAACGGTGCATCTAGAAGCGCCTCTCATTCGACAATCCCTGCCAAGTGACTATCATGCTCATCTGCCACGCATGACAACAACAAACGAATAATCTTCTCAATGAGGTTGTCACCTCCGCCCACATGTCGATTTGGCACATCGTCATGCACCTTCGTAACAAAGACAGCGACATCGCGTAGATCATCCCCCACATACCTTAGCCCCACCTCCAAACGTAGTACCAATAAACCATTGGCATCAACCTCATAGTGGCGATAACCATAACGTGTGTCCGCGGCCACGAAACCGAAGTCACGATCCGACATATAATCGCGAAGCCCAAACATCTCATAGATCACCACGGTGCGCCCACACACCTGCCCCCGACACACCACAACCGTCGTCATCAACGCTCACCGTCGCAAAGCACGACCTATGGATGTAACTACCATCGAAAACCTGCTAACACTCCACCTAGATATGACGTACTCAGCAGGTACAAGCCACTAGCGCAATATTGCCAGCTCCACCAGGTATTCTATAAACATTGCACGCTCGACCACTTATTTATACCACACACGTACACTGAAACCGCCAAAAGAACCCCCCCCCAAAAAAAAAAAAAAAAAAAAAAACGCCTGAAATCTACGTACAAACTCTGTTAAAACGCATAAATCTCGGAGCCTGATACTAACGGCAATGTACCTAGTGACCCTAGGACATAATATACCCCTGACCATGGAACCAACTCATTCCACAACGGAAAAACCAGCGACATACACAACCCAACCCTACAATTAAAAAAAAAAAAAAAAAAAACGCCCAAATAAAACAAAAATAAAAACAAAAGTACAACATAAATCAAACGAAAACAACCTTCCACAGGTATACCACAGGCAGTCATCGAACCAAAAATAAACAAAAATATCCAAAACCCGTAACCAGCAACCAATCATAACATTTCAGAATCCCCCACCCCATGCAAATATATACAAACCACGATATGTCACACCATCGCCAACTAACCACGATAAACCCCTTCCACCATCTCACACCCCCCTCTACAAAAATAAACATCGATATATGATCATACAAAAATATATAATTTTAACCAAAGACAGTCTAAAACTAAATATACAAAAATAAAAATGAATTAGGGATAATAATAAAGCACCCTCTACCCCCCTTCTTCTTAAAAAACCACCAAGAAAAACCAAACCCTCCCCAAAACACCACCTAACCCATCTTACGCTTCCCTAACCGATACAACTTGCATTTCATCACAATTCATCCACCTTGCACCACCAAGCGTACATGTGCAGATCGCCATGCTAGCCCTCCCAGAGCAAGTCCTGTGCAAAGTCCATGCCGCCTCCGACTCAAAAGCCCCATTCCTCATCGAGAACCTGCTCTTCTCGGACTGGGCGGTCATCGTAGCCAAATGACAAACACTCAGAGGCGAGGAGGACCCTATCATTCAAGCATATGCCAAATATATCGCCGCCATCATCATGCAAGCAGCAGTGCAGAACCGCGAGATGGACAAGATCGTCGCCAAAACAGAGAAGGTAATCCTTGACCTTCATGGCTTCAGCTCTTCACATTTAAGCGCTACAGGTGAGGTGAACATCACAGATAACTCCGATGAGCATAGACTCCAGTATTCAAAATCAAATTTGTCGGATAGCACCCTTCAAACAATTGCAGAACCTTACCATGTTCCTTCTCAGAAAGGAAGGCTGTCATGAGGACGACATCGTCAACCAATCTCACTTCAAATACGTTCTTCCTTAGCTTACCCAGGCTGCACAGGAACCTCGCCTCCGCAAATGCACACAGGATACATGCCAATGGGGGGCTCGTACTCTTACCCATTGGTATCCCAACCACCTGCCTGAGAAGAAAACCAGTCGCTGACGTATATGTATGCTCCAGCTCAAACTGGATAAACCTCTCGATGTCCCTCAACTCCAATTTCCTCCAATGGTCTGCCCCAATTGTTAGACCAAAGGAGGCACCCTTCCCTCTTGTGTTGACACGCACAAATGATTGCCCTTTCCCCTCATGGTACTGGATGATCCAGCTTACTGCTTCATTGATGTTCGAATGAGGCAGTTTGTTGAACATCTCCTTGATGTCATAGGACGCCGATCTCACTTCCCCAATTGCTTTCATGCCTTTCACCTTCCTATTCACCCGCTGCAGCCTACCGACCAAATGAGACACTGCTTGGAGGTTAAAGTGAATATCAATGGGCAAATGAAAAAGCAGATGGTTGAGCCCCTTTGCCACCAACCTCCCTGTCTTCACCATAGGCTCTTTGAAGGTTGGGCAGATCGGGCGGAAACGCTCGATGTCCTTATGCTTCGGAAGGACATAAGCACATCCTATCTCCCCCTTACTGTCCCAACGAACAAATCGCTTCAGGCCACACCTATCCACATCCTCCTTGATCCTCAACAGTATCTCCTCCTCGGTTTGCTGAACGATCCGATAACCAGTGCTCGTGACAAACGTATCCATCATTGCCGAATGATACACAGCTGGACACGTGACGAGTGTATCGCCTGGATTACGATCCAACGGAGTAAGAACAAACTCACCTAACTGCTTCTTGACCTTCTGAACATCTGTCATGGTTAACCTTTCGTTGCCACCCCCGTCCTCCACCATACACCTTTGCAGATGCTCATGGTCAAACTCAGGACAAGGTCCTCTTAAGTTCTTCCAATTAGCAAATCCTTCCCTCAACTCCCGTCCTAAAACACTCGTTCGGTCAGCAACACAGGCCCGTGGTATGTCGTTGGCGTTTGCAAGGATTTTGTGGTGCGTAGCCCCATTGCTCAATCTGAAACAGACATGACCCTCCACATGCGGATAGGTCTTCCCTGCGCAACAGTAGATAGATACCTGACGAGCTGCAAACGCTCGCTGGTTGTGAATAAGGTCACCGATCGATCGATTTTTAGTCGATACGATCTTAACCTTCTTCCTCGCCCGTTCCTCAAAGGCCGCTGGGATTTCACACCTCATCAATCCATCATTCACCACTTTCCTGATTTCGACAACTTTCAGGCGATCGTCATGCTTCACACGAATCGTCAAATCTGCGGACATATACAGTCCAAAACGTACACGGATCCTTCGAGATAAAAGACGGTGTAGGTACTTACGAGTTGACTTCCTTCGGAAGTCTTTCACAACACTATACAGCCGAAGCGTCGACCTCAAGCCCCAACTATTAAAGTCAAGAATCTTCTTCGGGTTCTTTAACACTCCAATCAAGAGTTTCTTCAGAAAGTCACCTCCGGTCTTCCACATTCTCAGATACTCGATTTTTATTCTCCCCCCGTCCTCAAACAGCTTCTTACTCCCTTTCAAAGTAGCGCTTCCCTCCGAGCACTTCACAACGGACTCACCAAACCTCTTTCGAATCTTCTTCCAACCATTGAACCATACATTCCCACCGGTGGATTCGATCACAAAGGCCCGTGAACATGCACTCTCCTTGGCTGAAAGCAGCTTCATAAGGTCAAGCGACCACTCCGATTCGCCCTCAGTCCTAAACTTAAATGGGTCAACTGGTCTACACGTCTCCTTCCGCGCTCTAACCCTCTCTCTTCTCCCCTTCCTATTCTTTTTGTTTCCTCAAGCCTTCTTCCTCCCTGTGGAGTTCAGAAACGGGGACCAATGTCTAATATATGTACTCTCCAAATCCAATAGCTCAGACTCGACGCCTTCGGCAACCGGAAGGAGTACGTATTTCCCTACGCCTAAGGAGTCCATCCATGAGTTGGAGTATTGAACCCGTGTACATATACGGAGTTGGAAAATTTTTCTCTCTGAAAATTATTCTTTGTATATGACGAGCACTATCACTCTCACATATGTGGTTTTATCCTGATGTATGATGGTTTTGTATGAAGAGGTAGATGAGAAACATCTCATGAATTGTGTGGATTTTGTGAGAATGAATGGATGTGAACTGTCTACTCTTCGGTATACTCGTGCGGTCTGCTTACAAGCAGGACAGGGCCGAGTATAAGGAGGGGAAGAGCACGTGGTGACCCAGGTAGAGGTCAAGCACGCGAAAGAGTTTGCATTTCCCTCGGCCCCATTACGAGTTACCCTGCCAGAGGTCTTGGTAGAAGAAAGCTTTGGGGGACAGGCAAGAGTGGAAGCCGCTGCAGAAGCCGTTGTGAAGGCACGCGAATGGGGGTATATGCGAGACAGATGCAAATTGATATATGGCCTATATCTAGATCAGAGGTTTTTGCTCGTTAGCCAAGGACTCAGGAGCGTGGCCAAGGTGGTTGATGCGTATGCAAGCTCCCATGATCCCGATGGGGAGGCTGTAGACTGGGATGAGGTTCGTGCAACAGCTGGCCGGTAGAGGGTGCCCTTGTATCCTGCTGGAGTATGTCTCTTATGGACTTGAACATATAAATGGATATGGGAGCCAGGACGGCAGGCCAATCAGTTGTGTAAACTGAGGCTCTGTGTGTTAGTCGATAAAATGTATCAGATGAGTTGCGAGGCATGTACAGATGTATTCTGGTGCGTGAGGTGTATATAACGGATCTTGAGAGGCTCCAAGTTAGCCCGGATAGGCTTTTTCCTTAGACCAAGTGTCTAAAGCCATGGGTAGGCCGGTTAGGACGTGAGGGGGAGCCTCGCCAATGATACGAGTACGGGGGTCAGTAACATTGGTAGCCTCGTTTACTCTCTGCCTAAGATTGGCTTTGAGGGCTGTGCCTATGTGGGATGTATATTGTCTATAGAACCCTCTAGCTAAAGTTAGGGTCTTATTGTATAAATCGGAAGAGGGTTGGTGTGAGATGGGTAGTAATCGACTTTTACTAGCCCTGTTTGCTTTAAGTTGTCTTGCGCCCCAACCTGATGGTCGACTGCTTGTCATGCGTGTCAGGCCGGTACCAGCATCATGGCTGAAGAGAGCGGTTTCGCCAAAATCCTATCTTGGAGGACTTTGTGTCTCAGTAAAGTGTTGTTGTGCGAGTCAGTGAGCGACTCGATGCCCCCGGAGCTCTGTGCCCTGCTGTTTCAAGGAAGGGGGTTGGCTGCCTTCCTAGGCGGCTATCAGGATTTTGCCCTCGCGAAGATGTGGGACGAAAAGGCGATGTGGATCATGCGCCCGCTGTTTGTCTGCAAGGAGTTGAGTGAGGAGGTGTACACCCTCATGCTGAAGTCGCAGACTTGGGATAAGCTGAGAACTTCTCTGGAATTGAGGTTCCCAGAGGATGGGATGAAAGGCCAGCTTGGTAAGGGCCCTGAGCAGCCAGCCGAGGTTGCGTCAACACAAGGGGAGTTGAGTGGCATACAGAGGCAAGTTGGGATGTTGGAAGAGAGGTTGACACGACTAGAAGAAGCCAGGCGTGGCAAGAGGAGAGTTTCTGAGGGAGTATCGAGTGGGCCGACTGCGAGAGGCAAAGCGGAAGCAAGGAAGGATCGTCAGGAGCTACTCCCCCACAAGAAGACCCCACAAAAACGAGTTTGCGCCCCGGAAAGAGATGAAGATGAGGGGGTCATTGAGATCAAGGAGGAGCAAGGATCTAGTATGGCTCTACCTGCTATTGCGCCTGAGCCAAAGGGAGGGTCCCGCGCTGCCCTGGTGCGGTGCCGGACCGATGCGCTCGACAACGTGTTATCTATCAAGTGTGGGCATTGCAAATCATAGGGTATCGGGTATCCATGGTGTGATCATTATTGTATATGTTGGGGTATCGGGCATTGCAAATCATAGGGTATCGGGTATCCATGGAAGTGTTTGGGTGGATGGGTGTATATCGATATTGAACTATTAGGTAGGTGGAGGGGGTTGGGTGGGGGGGCGTATATAAGGAATGATTACCTAGGTAGGTGGAGGGGGTAAGGTGGGTGGGTGTATAAGAGTGCATGCGTATAGTGTTATGTGCCTGATTAGCTTCTAAGGAGGGGTGCGCTCTATATGCGACTGATGTGTTCCAGTTCGCTCACAGAAGCGTAGGCATGCATCACAGGCAAGTGGGTGGAGATCAGCAGGTGGGCTTAACCCCTGCATTGCGACAGGACAAAGTCTGATAGTGTGTGTGTTGACGTGCAATATGCAACCATAGCAACCTAATTATGGGGACCTTCATCAGCCGTAGATTTACCATTGGAACTGTGAGCAGTGGGAGCACATACCTTGTCGTTATAGGGCCGCAGCCACCAATCCTCATCTGCATCTGTTGGAAGCAACAAAACACTTTTTTGCACAATGGGGGGGGTTTAGAGAGAAAGCGATAGCAGAGAAGAGAGGGAAGAAGTGGTGAGCCCGATGCTCAGTGTCATCAACACCAGTGGTATTGCTGGTGGAGGAGGGGTGGTGCATCCCCTAAAGCGCTTTTCGTCGCTTGCGCCGGTCACAGCTCATCAGAGGGTGTATATCCTCTGGCTCACAGGGTGCTGGTGAGGGGGGAGGTCATGGGGGAACGTGGTAGAGTTGAGCTCAAGGGCTTAACTTACCATGTGTTCCATGATGTCTGTGTCGGGAAGATTATCCCTGATCTGCGCCATCGTGCAGGACCTTGAAGTTGCCACTAGTATCGCAGGGGCGAATCGCCGCAGGAGTCAAATCACCGCAGGGTGTATTCTCGTTGCCGATTACGGGAGCACCAGTTGCCGAAGGTGGTGTCGTAAGCACCAACTATGGCGTCTATGGGTGCAGCGCAACCACCTTCACCAATCTGCGGGCTACGGTGGATAGTGTGCCATATGAATGCACCGCTTCAGAAAGCGAAGAGTGTAGGAACGAGCAAGAGGGAGAGGTTGTGAGGGTGGGTGGGATATATGGGTACATATGGTAGATGGGGAATCGTGGTGAGTGCTTAACCGTATGCGTGGGATCAGGCTGGAATGCCTCCTGCTTTGTGGATCCCCATGGGTCCGTGGGCGATAGATGGTTAGGAGAGGGGAGGATATCGATAGTCGATCCATGTGCAGGGATGTTTGTAGAAGGGGTTTCGCGGGTAGCCATCGGGCATTGAGGTAGGGAGCCATAGCTTGGGATGTAGGGCGTTTTTTTTTAGGGGAGCGGGGAGAAAATTACGTGTGTGGGTTACCGGTATGTAGCAGTGTCCGACAGTATTCGAGTGCGGGGGTGTGTTGCTCGTTTGGTAGTGCGCAGTGGTGTAAGCTCGAATGCATCAGCATGCAGGTGTGCTGCTCGTTTGGTAGTGCACAATGGTGTAAGCTCGAATGTATCCGCATCCGGGTGTGTAGGTGTGCTGCTTGTTTGGTAGTGCGCAGTGGTGGGTGGGCACGTTTTTTGGTGGTGAGTTAGTGAAGTGTTTGTCATGGCATGCGAATATGGTGGTGAAGCAGTTTGGCGTCAGCGGCCGATGCGTGTGCGTG